GGAGTAGGGGATGAGTGATGGGGGGGCCAGGGGCAAAAGGATGGGGGACATGGGGAAGGGACATGGTACGAGGACAAGGGATGGGGTAGAAGGGATGGGGGGGACATGGAATGGTGACAAGGGGTGGGGGGACAAGGGACGGGGGATACGGGGCAGCGGGACATGGGGCAGGGAATGTGAGGTGGAAGGCCATGGGACAGGGAGGGAGGGATAGGGACTGGGTGATGGGACAGGGCAGAGGAACATAGGAGACGCAGATGTGGGGGCATGGGGCAAGGGTACATGGGATGGCAGAGAAGGGACATGGGGATGAAGGCACAGGAAATAGAGCAATAGCCATGGGAAAGGGAGACATGGAGCAAGGGGATGAGGGAAGATGGGCATGGGATGTGGGAACAGGAGGACATGGGGGAGGGGGATGAGGGATGGGGGACATGGGACAGGGATGCAAGGACAAGGGATGGGTGATGGGGCAGAGCAGAAGGACATGGGATGGAGACATGGGGCAGGGGGATGAGGGTTGGGGGGACATGGGACAAGAGGTGGGACAGATGGACATAGGAAAGGGTACAGGGCAGGAGGATGGGGTATGTGGGGACAGAGGAATATGCAGTAGAAGGATCAAGCACAAAGGGATCAGACGGGCATGAGGGATGGGGCAACACGGCACTGGAGATGCAGGGATGGGGATGGGATGGGGCAGAGGGACATGGGGACAGGGAAGTGTAGGAAGATGGGTTGGGGCAGATGGGAGCAGGCGGACATGGGGACAGAGGGATAGGGAGATATGGTGGGAATGGGGGGTAACACACTGGTGCCAGGGGTGATGCTGGTGTCCCTGGGAGATGACGGGGTGACCCGCATGTCCCCAGCGCTTCAGCATGGAGGGCATATCCAGCATCCTGCACTCCGGCCTGCGCCAGACCTTTGGCCCCACCGCCAACGAGAAGCAGGTGCTCTTTTCCCCCCAAAACCACCCAAATTTGTTCCCTGTCACACACCCTGTCCCCCTGCACCTTGCAAACCCTACCATTTTTCACCCCAAGACCCCCTTCCTGAGCAGGGGTTCTTGTACAAATTGTGTACAGTTTGTGTTGGGCTGGTTTTGCATTGTGCAATCCATTTCCTACCCCCCCCCAAAACAGCTGCAAATTGAATGCAATGTTGGGGAAAAAAATCTCATTTTGTCCCAGTTTGGGCTGATTTGCAGCAAGGTGCTGCAAAAAAAAAGGCAGTTTGGTGCCATTGGGGCAGTTTTGGTAGGGGGGGCTGTTGGGATTTTGGGTTGGTTTTTTTTTCAGTACCTGAACACGGTGATTCCCTACGAGAAGAAAGGATCACCACCCTCCGTGGAGGACCTGCAGATGCTCACCAACAGTGAGTGCTGGCTTGTGGTGAAGTTTTGGGGTGGAATCAGCTGGTTTGCACCACCACTGAATGGTAGGTTGGGGAGGCAGGTGCACAGGTTGCATTTGGGTGCATTGTTGCAGCACAGCATCAGCTTGCTGCAGCATTGCAACACAAATGTCCATCGTTGCAGCGGGGTGATTTGAGGTGCAACCACCTCAGGTGCATCATTGCAAGAAAGCCCATTTTTAGGAGGAAAGACCTGTTTTCGCAATGCTGCAGCACTGCTGGTTCACAGCAATGCCCCTCGTTTTTGCATCCTACACAAATGTCAGTTTTGGGGGTTCTGCATTGCAGGTGCCTAGTTTGGATACTCTCAGGCCTGGTGCATTGTAGGAAACTGGCAGTGTCTCTATGGCATCTGCAGGGATGGTTTGGGGGGGGAAGGGACATTCTGGGGGGCTCACAGCCCCATTCTCCCTCACAGTCCTGTTTGCCATGAAGGAGGGGAATGAGAAGGTGCCCACACTGCTCACTGATTATATCCTCAAAGGTATCTGCTCACCTCCTGCACCCTCTCTGCATCTCTTGTGCCTCTGTGCCTCCACCACAGATCCCTTCTGCTTCTCCCTTGCATCCCTCATGCATGCTTCATGCATCTCCACGGATCCTTTTTGCATCCTTGGCAATCTCCTGTGCATCTCCCTGCCTCTCCCTTGCATCCTTTGTGCATCCCTTGCCCATTCCTCATACATCTCCCTGCTTCTCAAGTATCTCTGGTGCATCCTTTAATGATCCTCCTGGGTCCATCTCCTATGCATCCTTCATGCATCTCCTGTGCATCCTGTGTCCATCTTGTGCATCAACCTGCACGCCCATTTCTCGCTTATGCACATTGCGTATCCCCTGTGCATCTCCCACTCAGCTCTTGTTCACTCTTGTGCATCCCAGTTCAAGCATCTGCATCACTGTGCACTCTCATGCATCAGTGTCTGTGCTTGTGCATTATCATGTATCCCTGTGCACACTCATGCATCATCCTGCAGCCTCAGGCACCCTCGTGCTTTCCTGTACACACTTGTGCATCCTCATGTTTCCCCAGGCATGCCCATGCACCATTGTGCACCTTCATGCATCTCTGTATGTGCTCATACATCCTGCATCCTCCTGCATCCCCTGCACACTCGTTCATCATTGTGCATCCCTTTATGTACCTGCATGCATCATTGTGCATCTTCATGCACACAAGTGCATCATCATACATCATCCCTGTACGTGTTCAAGCATTATCATGCATCCTCATGTATTCATGCAGCATCATCAGCCTCTCTACTATGAAGACAGGCTGAGGGAGCTGGGGCTGTTCAGCCTAGAGAACGCTTTGGGGAGGCCTTAGAGCCTGAAGGGGCTCCAGGAAAGCTGGGGAGGGGCTTTTCACCAGAGAGGGCAGTGATAGGACAAGGGGTAATGATTTTAAACTGAAAGAGGAGAGATTGAGGTTAGGCATCAGGAAGAAATTCTTCACCATGAGGATAGGAAGGCACTGGAACAGGTTGCCTAGGTTGTGGCTGCCCCCTCCCTAGAGGTGTTGAAGGGCTGGATGAGGCTTGTGCAGCCTGGTCTGGTGGGAGGTGTCCCTGCTCATGGCAGGAAGGTTGGAACCACGTGATCTTTAAGGTCCTTTCCAACCTTCACCATTCCGTGATTCTATGATTCTATGATCATCCATCCCCAAGGATGCTCATGCATCCTCATGCATCCCTGTGCACACTTCTGCATCTCTGCGCACCTTCATGCATGCCTGTACTTGCCCATGAAGCACTGCATCCTCATGTATCTCCTTGTACTCATGCACTCTTGTGCATACTCATGCCCCGTGCACCTCCATTCGCCCCTAGATGTGTTCGTGCACCATCGTGCATCCTCCTGCCCCCCAGTGCCCACTCTCGCCCTCTCTCTTTGCAGTGCTCTGCCCAACCTGATGCGGTGCTGCCCTTGCACCCTCACCCCAACGCTCCCCGAAAACGGGGCCAAAACCAAGGAAAATGGATCGCCGGTAGCCCCTCCACAGCCCCGCCCTGCACTTGTCCCCCCCCTTTGCACAGCTGGGAAATAAATAATTCGTTTCATTAATTAAGCAACTGGCCTCTGGCGTCTCCATCCCCTGCTTGCCACCTTGTTTTGCAGCTTTTTGATAGAAAAATGCACATTTTTGGAGGTGAAAAATATGGATGAGGACTTTGCTGCTGTGCTCATGAATATGCAGAGTTCTATAAAATATGCAAATTTATGTCTAATGAGCTGCTGGGAGGTGATTGCAGTGCTGCAGGCAGCTGCCATCCAAGGGGAAAATTCAGCCAGAAATTACATTTTGAGGTGATTTTTCCCATTTTTCCACTACTCCAAAGCCCCCTTTTCTGCTAAAAAAAAAATTGCAAAATTCACTATTTCCCCCCCCAAAACAATTAATTAACCTATTAATTAGCACTGGCTCATTAAGGAATGGGGGAGAGGGGGCTTCCATTTTGGGGAGATTTACTCAGTTTGGGTGTTTGTCACACATTTTGGGGGGACAGCTCTGAATCTGGGGGTGGTCACTGCTCATTTTTTGTGAACAGCCTCCATTTTGGAGGCAAATTAAGCCATTTTTTGGGAAATAACTTGTTTTGGAGAGATTTAAGGAGGATGGCTAGTTTGAGAGAACATCATTTTGAGTGAACATCACTCATTTTGGAGAGTGTTGCTTATTTTGGGGGAGAATTGCACATCTTGGGGAAACAAATTCGGAAGCATCATGGTTTTGGGAAGGTCATTTTTTTGGGGCATCACTCAAGAAAACCCCAATTATATTGGAGGAACATCCCCCATCGTGAGGAAAGACTTTTTTGGGGAAACACTTCAGTTTAGGGGAGCACTTCTAATTTTTGGGGGGGCATAAGACATTTTGGGAGACCATCACCCATTTTGGGGTGGGTCACTCCTTTTTGGAGAATATAACTCATGTTGGTAGACCATTTTAGGGAAAATCCCTCGTTTCTTGAGAATATAATTAGTTTTGGGGGAGAATTACTCATTTTGGGGAAAAACACTCATTTTGGGGTGAGCATCACTCCTTTTGGAGGAGAATCACTCAATTTTTGGAGAATGTAACTCATTTTGGGGATAAATCCCATCTTTTTGAAGAATAAAACTTATTTTTTGGGAAGAAATACACAATTTGAGGGACAATCACCTTTTGGAGAACGTAACTCATTTAGAGGTAAGTATCACTCGTTTTAGGTATCTGTGTCTCATTTTGGGGGAGCATCACTCATTATGGGATAGAATCACTCATTTTTGGAGAATGTAACTCATTTTAGGGTAAGGATCACTCATTTTGGTGGAGAATCTCTAATTTTTTAAGACTACCAATCATTTTGGGGAAGAATCACACATTTTGGGGGGTATTTGCCCCTCTTGGGTACCATTCTTACTCTTTTGGAGAGCATCATCCATTTTTTGAGAACATAATTCACTTTGGGGTGAGCATAATTTATTTTAGGGGAGGGTATAAGATTTTTGGGGTGCATCACTCATTTTGGGTTAAAATCACATGGGGGCTCTTTTTTTTTAAGGGGAGAGTGTAACATTTTGGAGGCTAGCATCACTTTTGGAAGTCACATCACTCTATCGCAGATTTGAGTCAATTCACCCATTTTGGGGGCTTTGCCCATTTTGGGGGCTTATTCATCCATTTTGAGACTTCTCCACCCACAGGAAGAAGCTGTCAATAAAATACAGCTGTGAAAATCATCTCGTATCAGTTTATAATAATGGCCAGGAATTAATACTAAATTACAATGAGTCCTTTATGAAATTACAGATTACATTCATGCCAGATCACTATTGAAAAACAGGCTTTTTTTTGCCCATTGCATCACTCGTTTGGTTTTTTTCCCTGGCTGCCGTTTGTGGTGTTTATTTCTCAACTCCTCAAGAGCCAAAAAAATAAGGACAAAACCGGCAAAAACTGGCAAAAAAAAATAATCCAAATATCCTTCTTACAGAAACCTGCATTTACAGGTGGAACCTGCAGAAGAAAATTCCTTTATTATTTTTGTCCCATGTCACACGGGTTTGCTTTTGCATTTCTCCCCATGCCACGTTTTAAGGCAAAATTTGCCCTTGTTTTTGCATTTAAAAAAAAACAACGGAACAACCCAAAATAAATGGTTGTTTTGTTTTTTTTTCAGAACCACCCTCCTCCATAGCTCCTTTGGGGTAAAACTCCCACACATTTTCCCACACAATATCAGGAAGAAACCATCTTCCCAACAACAATGTTGAAATGTTGAATTTCCTTCTGCCCAGGTGAATCTTGGGGGTCCTCAATTTTGGGTGAAAATATGTTTTTTTTTCAACCTATTTTTTCCTGATTCGGGGCCAAAAGGCCCTGGGAAAGCCTCGCTCCCAGCAGCCTTTGCCCCAGCTCTGCGTCCAATCTCAGTCTTTATGGGCAAGGATGGGATTTTTTCCAGATTCAATGGGGTTTAGCACATAAATTAAAGGATTCTGGATTTCCTCTCTTATTGAGGAACTTGAGTCCGGAGTCACCAAACGGAGCTAAAAGGGGGAAGTTTGGTCAATCCACTGGGTCAAAAGCACAAAACATTCCTCATATCCAACCTGAAGCGGAATTTGCACTCACTGATTGTTTTTTTCCCCACATGTTGGTATTTGTGCCTGTGGAACATCTTTTTTTTGGGAAAAATTCCCAAAACATCAGTCCTGGGGTTGGTTATTGGGGTTTTTTTGCAGCAAGAAATCCGAGTGAGGGATGTGGTGGCCCATGGTGAAAACCCGCCATTGCCCAACAGCATCTAAACATGGCCTGGGGAAAACAGCTTCCCATAAAAATCCTTTTTCTTAGCAAAAAATGGAAGGGAAAAAGGAAAAATAAGAATAAAACCTGGAAAAAAAATAATCTGGCCACAATATGTGCCTTGTAAACCTGTGTCCTTCACTTTCATGTGCCAATATGGTAGTCCCTGCACTCCCACGGGCAGCCGGGGTGTCCACCAGCGCCTCCAATTTGTATTTTTTCACCAATTCTGTTTTTGTTCTTGCCAATTTTTGGCATTTGGGGGAGAATTCTGTTTCTGGTGCTGTCACTGATTTGGGGAGGGCATGGGAGGAGTTACTCCAGTGAGTCACTGTGGTCCAAGCTGAGGTTGGTGCTGGGCGCTGCTGGGACGCCACCAGGCTCTTCCTCCAGCTCTTCCTCCTCTTCTTCCTCTTCCTCCATCTCATCCTCATCTTCCTCATCCTCCTCTTCTTCCTCAGTGCCGTCAAGGGAGTCGTCATGGGCTGCCAGCATAGCCTGCTGCATGGCCATGGTGGCTGTGGCTGATGAGAGGGGTTGCAGGTTGTCCATGCTGAGTGAGCCTGAAATTAAAAAAAAAAAAAAAAGGATTCTCGAGCTAAGACAAAAAAGACAAAAAAGTGCATAAACTCAGACTGTCACTGATTTGGGGAGGGCATGGGAGGAGTTACTCCAGTGAGTCACTGTGGTCCAAGCTGAGGTTGGTGCTGGGCGCTGCTGGGACGCCACCAGGCTCTTCCTCCAGCTCTTCCTCCTCTTCTTCCTCTTCCTCCATCTCATCCTCATCTTCCTCATCCTCCTCTTCTTCCTCAGTGCCGTCAAGGGAGTCGTCATGGGCTGCCAGCATGGCCTGCTGCATGGCCATGGTGGCTGTGGCTGATGAGAGGGGTTGCAGGTTGTCCATGCTGAGTGAGCCTGAAATTAAAAAAAAAAAAAAAAAGGATTCTCGAGCTAAGACAAAAAAGACAAAAAAGTGCATAAACTCAGAAAAACCTTGTACCCAACCTGTAGAGTGTCCCACCTGCCCCAGCCACTCCCCAAGGTCTGACCCTTAATTTTTTAGCTCATGTTATCTTCACTAAGTAACAAGAACCTCTCATAGTTTCTGTGAAGCAGAAGAAATTTCATTAATTAGATGCCCAAATCAGGCGGATCTTCTATTCACCATCTGTTTATTTCCACTCTCCTGTCCCTTCATCTTCTTTCTTCTCAACTTGTCTGGTCCATCTGCTCTTTTCACCTTCCCTTCATCTTCTGTACTCCATTTTCATAATCTCCTCTCTCTTTATCATCTTATCTCATCTTATCTGTCCTCTGATTTTGATCCTCTCTATTGTTGCCTTCATTTTCATCATCTGTTCATCTTTTCATATTTTCTTTACCCATCTTGACTCATCCATCTTCGCATCTTGACTTTTTTTCATCTTTTTTTTCATTTTATCTCCTTTCCCCTTCTGCCCCTCTGCCCCCTCCCTAGCACTTCAGGAAATAGCCCAGGTGATCCCTCATTGTGGATGATCCTTGAGGGCTGTTCCTATGCCAAGGAGATGGCAATGCTCCATTGCCAGAGCTGTTGTGATGGCCAACTGGAAGAACTTTCTTGCGTGGGTCACCTCTCCAACATGTTTTCCCTCACAGCGACTTGAAGGGCTCTAGAAATCCTTAATTGCCAATTAAGGCTTGTCACCGTTTGACAGTGGCTACTGCATCCAGGTTTGTCCTTACCATCAGGATTTGTTCCCGAATTGCCACCCTGCTGCTGCAGGACCCCAGTGGCAATGGAGTTGGGCCAGAACCGCTGGGTGGGCCGGTGTTGAGATTTTATTTTCTTGGCTTTGGGGGCTGGGTCCGGGTTGCTGGCATCAAGCATTGGCTGCAGGATGCGCCGCCGGGCATTTATGAACCTTTCCAGGGAAAAGAGAGATCATTCAAGCAGCCAAGAGTCATCACACTCATATCGTTACACATTAATTTCAAGTTAAAACAATAATTCAAGGAGTTTCAATATCAAGCCCTTTTGGCTGCATCGGCCAAAAAGCTGGGGTTTTTTACCCTATTTTATTGGTGTGTTTACCCTATTTTATTGGCATGTTACACCATTGCAGTAACTTTTCCAGCTGTGTGTTAAAAGCTGCTATATGCTGGGCTTGCCAGGATAGGGCACTGAGACATTGCAAAAGAATGCCCACAATTAAACGCATCTGAGCTCATCTTCCAGAAATCATCCAGAATCCCAGAAACTGCCCATGTTATCCCCCAGAAAAGCATTATATAGCACCAAAATAGCATGGAAAAGATCTTGAGAGCAAGAAGACTGCAGAGGCTACCAACACACTCACCAATTGTTGACTTGCAAGAGGGTCAGGTTCGTTTGGGCAGCAATTTGCCTCTTCTCATCCTCTGTGGGATAGGGGTGCTGGAAAAAAAAATAATTAGAATGCAGCAAAATAATGTCCCCATTTTTTCCATTTTACAACCCCAAATTTGGTGGCTTCTTGAATTTGCAAGGCTTAAGGTGGCATCTGAGAGCAACAGTTTCCTTAGTGTCCTTAGGGTTTTTCCAAGACTTTTCCTTGAAGGAAAATATATTTTTGTTGTTATTTGTTTTACTGATTTTCTAACAACAGTTGTTATTAAAGGTGGGATTTAGTCTTCAAAACCTGCTGTCACCCACAGCGTTCCTTATGTGCATTAAACACCCTGGAATACCTGCCCTAGGAGGCTACTAGCACTCAAAGCTCTATCAACTCCCTCCCAGCTGTGCTAAAGTCGTCCTTTCCAACCCCAAAAATTAAAATATCAAACCAGCCTTGCGTGTCATTTTTTTGGACCCCCAAGCTAGTGTTGATTCACATGACTTCTTTTCTGGCTGTTTGCCCTCAAACATGCGTGAGTTCCTTGACAAAACCACTCAAAGTCAACAACCATCCCAGCAGGGCCTCAGGGATGCCAAAGTGATTAAAAATGGCTCTTTTATGGCAAAAATATCTCTATTTTTGGCAGATTTTTTCCAAGATTCCTTCTTCCTGCTCGTGCTACAAAACTCCCAAACCCAATACAACAATGAATCAATGCTGTTAAGTTAAAAACCACATCATCTATGACACCAGATGGTGAAGCCCACGCTTGGGGAAGCCCAAGCATCCTCTGACCATGAGGACCTGGCTGAGAGCAAGTCTAACAGTCCAGCAGAAGAATAATTTATTTCAGTTTTTCAATACAGTTTTGGAAATTTCACACCATATGGTTTTCCTAGCACCTGGCAGAAAATAGTTCTTCGGTTTCAGGTCTTCTAAATCCTTCTGCTTTCGAACCTGCAGTCCAGCCCTCCAAAGGGTATGGGAGGTGCATGATGCAGCTAGGGATGGCAGCCCAACACAGATGCTCTTGTCCTCAACGCAAGAAATCCAGGATTTCCCATATACAAAAAAAGGGTGGAAAGTTGCCAACCAGCTGCTGCTCCATGACCTGGGTCATGCTTATTCCTGAAATTGCTCCTTGGAGCTGCTGTTTTCTGCCTTGCTGTTTTATCTGTAGGTCTCCCACTCCTGGAGACCCTCACGCAACTCTTTGCAACTAGCTTCTGAGTGGTTTCCTGGACAAATTATTGATGAAAAAGGGGTTTTTTTTTTAGCTTTTTGCCCTTCTTCCAGCCTTGCTGGAGGGAAAGCAGTCTCCTAGCAAAAGAATATCCCTGTTGCTTCCTTTGAACTCCCTCTATCTACCTACTTCTCCAATTGCCAAAAATGGGACAGTGTAGTAGTAGTTATGCATTTCAACTGGTTGCAGATGTGGCCCAGCCAGACCTGTGGGGCAGCTTTCACACCCCAGCATGCTGGAAAAGGGTATTTTGGAGTTGTTAACAGCAAAAACTGCTCCATTTCCTATCTGCAGTAAGTCATGGAAGTTCTCCTCTTGCTTGGTTTGCTTCTTCAAGCATTAAGGGAACATTTTTGCCACCTGCAGTGAAAATGGTCATCCCAGAATATTCCCAAAATAAAATCAAATCCACTTTGTGAATTTAAATATAAATTCAGACAAATCACCACCTTCATTTGTTAATATTGGGGATTTTTTGCCATTTTTTTTTCCAGCTTGAAAGTTTTGGTGGCTGCAGTGCTCACCATGAGATGCTGGAAGAGCCATGAGCGCATTATATTGGTGGCGTGTTTGGGCAGAACACCTCGCTTGTTCTTGGACTTCTTGTCCTCACCATCAAGGAGGGAGGTGAGATCCAGGTTCACCTGCCAGGGAAGAACAAAGAGAGAACTTGCTGAAAACAACGATGTGCAACCCAAAAAATGAGCAAGATTAACCCAAAAAACTGAGTAAAACCAACCCAGAAAATGAGTACAATCAACCCAAAAAGCCAAGCAAAACCAACCCAGAAAATTGGGAAAATCAACCAAAACCCAAGGAAAACTGATCCAAAAACTGACCACAACCAACCCAAAAAACAAGCACAAGCAACAAAAAAATGAGAACAATCTAACAAAGAAATGAGCAAAACCAAATCCAAAAAGGGAGTGGGTGTTAGTGCAAAACACAGGAACTCATAGAAGGCATCCAAACCCCATCCTTTCCCCAAAATTTTTGCATTAAATCCACAATTTCCACCATGATTTCCATTTGCTATCTCCTTTTTTTTTTTTTTTTTTTTTTTTTCTCCAAGGCTTTGCAAAGGGCAATGAGCTTTTTCCCCCTGTGATGGCACCAGCACAGCTGTGGACTTTGGTGCCAATGTCATGACTGTTTTCCTTGGTTAAAGGAGATTAAAGGAGAAAACACTTTAAACTTTAAAAAAATAACAACAACAACAAATATCAAAACAAAAACAAGACCACAGAAAAAACCCCAAACCAAAATATTAATTTCTAAACCCAAGGTTAAAACTCTTTGCCACATTAATCCTTATCAAACCTGTGTTCTTCACCCAGCCGCTTCCCACCATGAGGAGTAACATGCCCATTGAGTGAAAATTTGCTTTTTTACCCCCAAAATAAAAATAAAACATCTTGCTGAAAGAGAAGTTTTACTGAGGTTGCGGAAAGTGAACTGAAATCTCAGCACTTGAGTTTAAAAGGGATTTTTAAAATATTTTTGTTTCCTCAGCTCTTCATTTGCTTTTCCTGGCCAGCAGGTCCCTGAGATTCCCCTGGGCTCCAGTTGCCTAAATCATGCTGGCAGTGCGGGAAGAGCATCCAGAGGTGCTTGTCTGGGGCTCTTTCCCTTTTTTTATTCTTCTCTGTGCATGTGTGTTCCCACCACAGAGGATCTTGCTGCAAGATTTAAGTTGGTGACAGGGAGATATTAAAGAAAGAAATTTTAAAAATCATTGCCCAAGCAATAAAACCTGTCGGGGAGGTGCCGTTTCCAAAATGCTTTTTTTGCAATTTTTTTTTTTTTTTTAGGAGGCTCCTGCAAGTAAATTGGGGAGTTTCAGAAAACAATTTGCATAGGGGGATTTTTGCTGAGCTGCCCCCAGAAAACAGAGTAGCAGAAATTTTTCAAAAATTCCTGGAGAATGAGGGTTTGGAAGAGATAATGAGTTAATTAGGATAGTATGTTGTCATAAATTGATTTCTACCCCAAACTGTCAACTCATTGCAAGCTGTCAGGCAGGGAAACTCTGTGCAGTTATTGGTAACAACAAAAAAGGAATAAAAACAGAGGAGATGGCTAAAAAGTCCCCAAAATTCCATAAAGCAAGGAAAAAAATTAGACTTGCCTGTGAGCAGTGTGATTGCTGTACCAGGCAGGTGATCTCAGATCCATAATATAACAGTAATAATTTATATCATGTGATATGATTGATATGATATGATGTAAGGTAATATAATTAAAGTATTGTGTTATGTTGTTGCATGTTCTGTTCTATTATATTCTGATTACATACTATACTATGATACAATATTAATAGAATATTTAGTAATTGTAATAATTACTATTTTAATTAAGATAATATTTAATTTTTATTATATAAGCATTACTATAATTGGTTAGGTCATTGCTATAACTTTTTGGGCACCCCAAAGGTGCCTAGCAGATGGATTCAATCAATGTTTCTTGCTAATTAAGAATTTAGGATAGTTCCAAGGGTTGAATTTATGGCGAATTGGAGGGTTTGCTTGCTGCGGCAGTGCAAAATAACCCCTAAAATGGCATTTTGAGGTGGGAAGGTCTTACCTGGGTGTTGGGGATCTGCAGGGCACTGGGTGCGATGGTTTGGGCAAGGACCTGGCCCTGCGATGTCACCATCGTCACGGGCTGGTACAAGGCTGCACCTGTGGAAAAAAGGCTCATGGGTACATGGAATCCCCAGATTTGTATCCTTCCCTGGCAGCCCCACCCTCATCCTTACCTGGGACAGCAGGCGAGCCGCTGCCGGCGCTCATGGCCAAGTTTCCCGGCGGCAGAGCGGCCGCTGGCACCACGATGCCCGGCGGCGGGTTGGAGGTGGGTGGCAATGCTGCAGGTGAGCTCTGCAGCATCTCCTGGGGAAAAACAGATCAACAGCTTGAACTTCGAAGACATGGTTTTCATTTCCCCCTGTGGGAAAATTTGCCCTGTTGCTTTTTGTTTGTTTGTTTGTTTTTTACTGCAGGTGGTTTTACAGGTAAGAGATTTTGAAGGAAAAGAAATTTTTCACTTTGTTACAATTGCAAAAAAAGGTGGAAAAATAAGGACTTATGCTTTACAAAGCTCCCACTTAGTATCTCCCCCAAACTCTGCTTATTTGTACAGCCACTATTTCCTATAAGGAAAATGGAGAGGAAAAAAGAGCATGATGCAGAACAGGGATTTCTTCAGTCTTCATATTCCTATACATTTTTACATTTTTTGGTGCTTTGACTGAAACTAGATGAAGCAGCATTTGCTAAAAGCTGGGATAAACACTATGATTCCCCCTTGCCAGAATAACAGTAAAATAATGATAATAATTTAATCCAATTTTATATCATTCTTTGCAGCTTGAAGCTAACTTCTTGAAAAACAGGCTTTTTTTTTTTTAGCCAGAAGCTGTAATTTTTGTATCAGTCCCAGCTCTGGGGTGGCTTTAGCATGTGAGCAGCAATTTTCCTTAATTTGGATGCATTTCTTCAAGAAACCTATTTCTTAGCTTAAGAAAAGAGGATTTCTCAGGACTCGTAACATGAAACGACTCAGGTAAAAGTGACCACACAAACACAGTCAGGTCAGGAAAAGCTATAGCTCCTCTGTTTCGTTGCAGTAAAACCATAAATTTGAACACACAAATAATTATTTTTACATCAAAAGATTATGCGGGTATGTGGTTCAGCTGAGAATTAGAGTGCCCTTGTTGATGTATTCCCCCTTGCTGGGGGGAAAAAATCTGGAAATTTTGCTGCAAGTGTTGTAAATTTTTGCTTCACCTCCTAGACATTCCTGTCCATAGCTAAATTAATTTTTAAAATGCAAATACGACAATAAAATGTACTTTAAAAAATATCTGTTCCCCATCTCCAGCCTTTTGGAGGAAATGAATTTTTCTGGTTGAAAAACTGGGATTGCAAAAATTAGAGAGAGAGCAAAAATTAGTTGCTTTTTCCCACACTTTTGCTAAGTGCAGCTAAAAAAACACAGTGGAAATATTAATATAAAACCAAACGTGTCCTTGGAGAACTTCAAAGAGTTGTCAGATATGGACAGAGACAACCAGAAATTTGGACCAGCCTGGAAAGCTCCAGCTTTCCTCTCTCACCTTTTTTTTTTTTTTTTCCCCCACAATTCCCCAAAAGAAGGGCATCCACCAGAAGACTGTTTTTGGAAGTGCACTGGGAAGAAATAATTTGGGATATTGGAAAAAGGGAACAAGAAATTCCCCACATATAGTGGGCAAAGCTATTTTTAGCAGCATCTTCTGATGGCAAAAAATGGCACTTTTTTGGGTCACATAGAGGAGAACTGTCCCAAGCCCAGCGGTGTAAAAAAAGGCAAAATATTGGAAATTATTAGAAAAAAAATTAAAGAAATTCATGATGTTTCACAGTCGCAACACTACTGTGAAATCAAGGGTATCCAGTGGAAGTGGAGGCTTACAATGAACATTGATAACTCCAAGATTAAAAAGGTATATTTTTAATACTAATTGCCTTGGATGAAAAATATATTATGCTTGTGGTATTGCTGCAGAGGAAAATAGTTTATATTTTAGGACTCAAAGAAGTTGAAATGTCTCCAGCAATTTTGAAACTTGAGTGTAAAACAATGCATCACTAGAGGGCTCTGCAGACCCATATCTCAGCACCAACCTTCTACGGCTCTACCATAAAGCACAATTTCTCCGAATTAAAAGCCCCTTTAGGGAAGGAAAAGACCTGATACATATGGCATCACACAAAAACCCCCACTTTTTTAATAATATGGCAAATTACCCAGTGGCCATGTGTACGTGCTAAAATTTGATGCTCCTTGAGCTAGTGTCCTCCTCGTGCTTTATGATACAGCCATTTATTTTTGGCTGCAAAAAAATTTCCCTCTCATCTTAACTTTGTGAAGTTTATTTGTGCTCGAGTAAAGCTGAGGAAAATTGGAGTTTGGAGAAAAAAGAAACTAGTTTTCCCAGAAAGAGGTGACCAAATTCAAAGTCATGTAAGAAGATCCATAAGTCTCCTTCAGGGATGGAGGGGTGGATGGAAGGACATAGGGAAAAAAAAAAAAAAAGTTGGCTTTAAGTAACAGAAACCCAGGTTTGTCCACAGCACAAACTTGGATAAAGATCTATACAGAGAAATGATGCATTGAATCAGGCCAACCCAACTATCAGCCTCGAACCACCAGCAAGATGGGGAGGAAGACGAAGAAGAAACACCGTCCTGGAAATGCCCATATAAACACTGCCAATCTACTGCAATTCTCTCTCAAAACAAATGCTGAAAAAGGCAAGATTTAATGAAATTTTCAAGTCCCTAGCAGCACTGTCATGCCCATTATGAGTGGCTTTGTGGAGGGTTTTTTCTTGCAAATGAAGTCAATGAGGTGCACTTTGACATCGAAAGAAAGTTGAACTGATTTACTTTAAGCATTGAGTTCCATTGGCTTTTCCCACCCCTTGCCATGCAACAAACACAGAATCACAGAATCACTTAGGTTGGAAAAGACTTTCAAGATCATTGGGTCTACCAAGTCCAGCACTAAGCAATTTCCCCAAGCGCCACATCTAGATGATTTTTAAACACATCCAGGGATGGTGGCTCAACCACCTCCCTGGGCAGCACGTTCCAATGTCCAACAACCCTTTCAGTGAAAAAGTTTTTCCTAATGTCCAGTCTAAACCTCCCTTGGTGCAGCTTGAGGCCATTTCCTCTTGTTCTATCACCAGTTACTTCTGAGAAGAGACCAGCACCCACCTCTTTACAACGTCCTTTCAGGTAGTTGTAGAGAGTGATGAGGTCTCCCCTCAGCTTCCTCCTCTTCAGACTAAATAGCTCCAGTTGCCTCAGCTGCTCCTCACAAGACGTATTCTCAAGGCCCTTCACCAGCTTTGTTGCCCTTATTTGGACACACTCCAGCACCTTGATGTCTTTCTTGTATTGAGGTGCCCAAAACTGGACACAGTACTAGAGGTGTGACCCCACCAATGCCAACTACAGAGGGATGATCACCTCCCTCATCCTGCTGGCCACACTATTCCTGATACAGCCAGGATTCCATTGGCCCTTCTTGGCCACCTGGACACACTGCTGGCCTACTTATTCAGCCACCTACCAATCAGAACATTCAGGTTGCTTTCTGCTGGGCAGCTTTCCCCAGGGTTGGGGAAGAGTGGCTGTATGGGGTTGTTGTGGCCCAACTGCAGGCCTTGTTAACTTCACACAACTGACCTTAGCCAATCAATCTAGTCTGTCCAGGTCTCTCTGTAAAGCCTCCTAACCCTCAGGCAGATCAACACTCCCTCCCAACTTGGTGTCATCTGCAAACTTACTGAGGGTGAATTCTCCTTATCAAGATTGTTGATAAAGATGATATAAAGAAGTGGTCGCAATACTGAGCCCTGAGGAACACCACTTGTGATGGGCCACCAGCTGGATTTAACTCCATTCACCAGTACTCTCTGGGTCTGGCCATCCAGCCAGTGTTTGACCCAGCAGAGTGTGTGTCTGTCCAAGCCATGAGCACCCATTTTTTTCGTCAGAATGCTGTGGGAAACACTGTCAAAGGCCTTGCGAAAGTCCAGGTAGACAATATCCTTGCCCTCATCCACCAGCTGGGTCATCTTGTCATACCTTTGTCTTGATGAGATCAGGTTTGTCAAGCAGGACCTTCCTTTCATAAACCCATGCTGACTGGACCTGATCGGCTGGTTGTTCTGTATATGGTACATAATGGTACTCCAGATCATATGCTCCATGACCTTCCCTGGCAACGAGGTCAGACTGACAGGTCTGTAGTTCCCTGGAGCCTTTCTTGTGGATGGGTACCACATTTGCTACCCTCCAGTCCACCAGTTAGCCAGGACTGCTGGTAAATGATGGAAAGA